GGACAATAAACAATCCTTTGAAGCAGTGAGTATCTAGATCGAGATCAGTCCTTTTCGAGACCCACTCTTGTAGCTTGAATCTTAAGATCAACGTACCTGCATCAGCCAACAAATCATGTAGTGTCAGATTAAGGCCCCTTTTGAAAAACTTCACACCCATCGGTGTCATGTTTAGGCGCGGTGTCTGCACGCGTGCAAATGGGGACATATTTTTCATTTGATCTCTTCAAACCTCGGCTTTGGTTTCACTCAAGTCCAAGTCCAAATCTCGATTAGTTCGCATAAAACAACGTGACTAGCGCGGATTAACAGTCGCTCGTCCGGGACAGTTTACCCACGACCCAAAAAAAATGCTTCTTCCACTGATCATCCTTGCCCTGTCGGCGAGTCAAGCGGCGGCGGCGATGCAGCCGAGCGAGACGTGCCTGCGGCGGTGCGGCGACGTGGAGATCCCGTACCCGTTCGGCGTCGGCAGCGGGTGCCACCTCGAGACCGGGGACTGGACGTTCGTGCTGAGCTGCAACCGCAGCGCGGACGGGCGGCTGCGGGTGTACAACTACGAGATCGAGGTGGTGGACGTGTCGGTGCGGCGGGGGCAGCTGCGCATCTACAGCGCCATCAACCCGTGGTGCTACAACGGCAGCACGTCCGCCATGAACGGGCAGAGCAACTGGTGGTACGACATGTCCATCACCAACTTCCGCATCAACGACGCGCTCAACCGCTTCACCGTCGTCGGGTGCAACTCCCTCGCCTACATCCTCTCGCCCAACGGCACCGCCGGTGCCGACCGGTACATGACCGGGTGCATGGCCATGTGCCCCGGCGCGGGCCGGCTGGAGAAGGAGAACGGCTCCTGCGCCGGCGTGGGGTGCTGCCAGACGGCCATCCCGGCCGGCCTCAACGGGTACCAGGTCTCCTTCGAGGAGAAGTTCAACACGTCGGCGATCGCCGGGTTCAGCCGCTGCAGCTACGCCGTGCTGGTCGAAGCCTCGGCGTTCGACTTCCGCGCCTCGTACGTCACCACCGACGAGTTCATGGCGTCCAACGGCGGCCAGCTGCCGCTGGTGCTCGACTGGGCCATCGGGAACAAGACGTGCGAGGAGGCCAAGCGGAACGCGTCGGCCTACGCCTGCGTCAGCGCCAACAGCGAGTGCGTCGACTCCAGGTACGGCCGTGGCCGCGGCTACCTCTGCAACTGCTCCGCCGGCTACGACGGCAACCCCTACCTCCTCGACGGCTGCCAAGGTGAGCTCCACATAGGCCGCCCGTTGCTCCGGTGTGCCAATGCCGTTCAGCCCATGAACCATTTTGGTTTCTTGCCTCTGCAGATATCAACGAATGCGACGAGAGCAGGTTCAGGTACCCGTGCTCCGTTCCTGGCACATGTGTCAACACTCCCGGAGGATTCACCTGCACTTGCCCTGACAAGACGATAGGCAACGCTTACAACGGCACATGCGGGGATAACAAGTCCCAGCTCGGATGGAAGATCGCCATTGGTAATCCACGCATACGCATCTCCAATGTTCTTGTGAAGAACGCCTAAATTAAACAAAACTGAGTTACTGCAGGAATCAGCAGCGGAGTTGTAATACTGATAATCACCGCGTCGTGCGTGTACATGATCCACGCGAAGAGGAGGCTGGCCAAGATCAAGAGGGAGCACTTCAGGCAGCACGGTGGGCTGCTGCTGTTCGAGGAGATGAAGTCGAGGCAGGGCCTGTCGTTCGCGCTCTTCACCCAGGAGGAGCTGGAGCAGGCGACGAACCGGTTCGACGAGCGCAACGTGATCGGCAAGGGCGGGAACGGCACGGTGTACAGGGGCACCATCGCCAAGGACAACGGCGCCGTGGTCGCCATCAAGCGGTGCCGGCTGGCCACCGAGCGGCAGAAGAAGGAGTTCGGCAAGGAGATGCTGATCCTGTCCCAGATCAACCACCGCAACATCGTCAAGCTCTACGGCTGCTGCCTCGAGGTGGAGGTCCCCATGCTGGTGTACAAGTACATCCCCAACGGCACCCTGTACAGGCTCATCCACGGCGGCGAGGGCGGCGCGTCGGCGCGGCGCATCCCGTTCGCGGCGCGTGTGAGGATCGCGCACCAGGCCGCCGAGGCGCTGGCGTATCTGCACTCGTGGGCGTCGCCGCCCATCATCCACGGCGACGTCAAGACGTCCAACATACTGCTCGACGAGGACTACGCGGCGAAGGTGTCCGACTTCGGGGCGTCGACGCTGGCGCCGGCGGACGCGGCGCAGTTCGTCACGTTCGTGCAGGGCACCTGCGGGTACCTCGACCCGGAGTACATGCGGACGTGCAGGCTCACCGACAAGAGCGACGTGTACAGCTTCGGCGTCGTGCTGCTGGAGCTCCTCACCTGCCGGAAGGCGCTCAACCTGGAGGAGCTGGAGGAGGAGAAGTACCTCTCGTCGCAGTTCCTCCTGGCCGTCGGAGAGGGCCGGCTCGGCGAGATCCTGGACCCGCAGATCAAGGGCGAGCAGAGCATGGAGGTGCTCGAGCAGGTCGCCGAGCTGGCGAAGCAGTGCCTGGAGATCTCCGGCGAGAAGAGGCCGTCGATGCGGGAGGTCGCGGAGGAGCTCGACAGGCTGGGGAAGCTGTCGCTGCACCCATGGGGGCAGCCCAACTCCGGCGAGCTAGCGGCATTGCTCGGTGGATCACCGAGCATGGCTGCTGACTCTGATCAGATTGAACTTAGCACTAGCACTAGAAACATTAGTTTCAGTGATACGGCGTATATTGGGATCCGATCTCCACGCTGACTGCACGTTTTTGCGAGAGATAGTTGCAGGCTTGCAGCGATTTTCAGCCACTAGGCAACTTTAACTTAGAACGAGAACGATGGGGGTTCAAATGTTCAATCACGTAGAACAATGAGCACTGAATTTCTGCATGGTTGCAAGTTTGTAGAGAGAACTGAGGAAGTGTTATCTAAAAATGCAGTAGCGAAACTTAAGTAGGTGTTTAAAGCTAAAGAATGGTCCAATCACATACTTTCTTTGTCCCGTAATATAAAGTATTATTGTCATTTTTTTAAAAAGGAAGAATTGGCGAAAGGACAAGTCATGGTACAAATATGATGTTTAGAAAAATAAAATAGTATAAAAGGTGATAGTGGAGAAATGAACAAGTAAAAGAGTGACGGGTAGAGAATATACTAGTATTAAAGTTAGTAAGTGAGAAATAAATTGATGTATTGGGATTGCAAAACCCCTTATATTTTGGGGCAAATTTGAATGGCATAATTCCTTATACCTAAATATATATGGTTACATGCAATTAAGTTGTACTAGATTTTTTTTATTATAACTAAATACACCGTCGATAACATGATGTTGCAAACCACAGTCAATTATTTTTGCAAATGGTCCAAATAAAGTAACATATCTTGATTCAAGGCTGAAAATTGAATGAAAGCCCAAATATAATCGTGCCAATGAAAACATAACAAGCTAAATGGTGTATATCAAATATTTTAAATTATACTGTATATAAAGTACTTCCTTTGGGTTTTAAAGTTTGGTTCCATTGATATTTGGATATATGTTTGATCATTCGTCTTTGTTTAAATTTGCTGTGCAAATATAATGAAATATAAGTTATGCATGAAGTAACTTTAATGATAAAACAAATAATAATTATATATTTTTTCAATAAGATGAATGATCGGAGATATGCCTAAAAGTTAATAGCCTCAAACATTAAAATTAGATTAAGTACAATTATACCTGTGAAAATAAAAAACGAGAGTTATCTTTTGGATATATTAATCCGATTTTTTTTGTTAAAAACCGGTCGTTTATCAACCACAATTATGTGTATGGAAACATAAGTTAAGAGACATGTATCAAAATCATTTAGACATATAAAATCTATCACCCACACATAACTGCGTGGGAGAAGTTGCTAGTTAAAATAATACTCCCTCCGTCCCAAAATATAACAACTTTTAGCCCTTAGGATTTGTCTCAAAATATAACAACTTCTACACCAATATTCTCTTCCCAACCAATCACAAGCCTCCACCATTCACTTTTCCCACCTACATCCACTACTCATCCAATCACAACCCTCCCCCCACTCACTTCTACCTACTTTCTTAATAACCGTGTCTAACTCTAAAACTTTTTATATTCTGGGACGGAGGAAGTACTATATTTCTGTATGATTTAAGTTTTTTTTTCATATTGCTCGTCTAATAATATAAACTGAGTGCAAGATTCTAAAACTTTATGGAAAAATAGAAAAGAAAGTCAAATTTCTCTCCCAAATTCTTTTCAAAATTTGAAAACAAATGTAGTCTTCTTTGTCTTTTTGATTCGAAACAAATAAAGGGTCCATTTAGGGACACTTCTAGCAGCTAAAGATTCTTCTGGAAGCTGCAGCTGCCAGAAACTCGTCTAAATAGTTTAGATTTTCACTCAGATTCTAAGAGCATACGCAGTGTTGCACTTAGAGGAGGTACTAGAAGAGAGAGAAAAAGGATAGAGCCGCATCCACACACTGTGATATGTTTTTTTAGCCAGTCTCAAGCAAGAGCTGGGTACTAGTCATAGGACCCGATTCTACTGGAAAGAGCATATGACAGGACCCACGCGTCAGACAAATTGTGTCTTTGGCCTGTATGTAGGAGAGAGATGATGGGTTTTGTTTAACTTATTTTAATCTTATGTGGGGCCCACAATAAGTACCTTTGCCAACTTTATACACTGCATCAGTTCTTACGAGGTGCTATATCTGACATGGGTCCCACTTTTAGTACCGATGCATGCATGATACACTCCACATGCTCTAAGAAGTTGTAGTTATAGAATAAAAAAATAAAAGTAAGAAACCAGCTACTCTAGATTTTTACGGCTAGTTTTGAAGAGTACAATTCCCCCGAACAGGGCCAGAAGTCTACAGGAGCACATGACTGTACACAACCGTGACCGGCGCGACCAAAGAGAAATCAGAAATCCTACGGTGGTCGGCCTTCCTCCAAAACCCCCACGAAGATAACGAATCCATCCGCTCCCCCCGCGACGCCCAGGGCGGAAGAATGGAGGCGCTGCGGGCGTGGAGGGCTTCCTCCAATCTCCTCGGCTTCGCGGCCTCTCGCGCCGCCAAGGCCGCCCCAGCGGCGAGGCCCCTCCGCCCCCACGTCCGCTGCTGCTCCCCGGCCGCCGCCTCCACCACGAAGCCGCCCCCGCCCCCACCTCAGGACCGCCGCCGCCGAAGCGCCTCCTCGTCCTCGTCCTCCACCTCCGACCGCGAATCCATCCGCGCCATTCGCCTCAAAAAGGTTTTACTCCTCGCCAATCCCTTCCTGCTCCCCCAATCTGTGTTCGATACCGCTATCCGTTTGATCGGGATCAATCGCTTGTGCCGTGTGGTTTGCTAGGTTGAGGAGCTGAGAGGGAAGGGCTACGAGCCGTACGCGTACAAGTGGGACAGGACTCACACTACCAAGGAGCTTCAGGATGGGTACACCCATCTCGAGAATGGCGAGGTCTGCGCGGACGTGGCGGTGTCCATTGCTGGGAGGATTGTCGCCCGAAGAGCGTTTGGAAAGCTTGTTTTTATGACCGTAAGAGACGATTCCGGGACTATTCAGGTTAGTTCCTTTCAAATGAGTTAGTTGCGTGGTTTTGCAAATCGAACGTAGGGCTGTAAATCAGATACGAGTACATATTATCCAGAATATTCTAGTGCCAAGTTTTATAATTGTAGTTGTGGCTTTCCCATTCCACTAGTGATATCTTCTACTTCCTCCGTTTCACAATGTAAGACTTTCTAGCATTGCCCACATTCATTTAGATATTAATGAATCTAGACATATGTATATATTTAGATTCATTAACATATATATATATATATGTATGTGGGCAATGCTAGAAAGTCTTACATTGTGAAACGGAGGGAGTATCTAGATTGTAATAGCTTGAGGTTCTGTTTCGTATTGCAGTCGATTGTGATAATCTCATTTGGGGCAAGACATTTCAGCGTTTGGCAAACTGCTTTCCTTTTAGTCTATGTCGCAGACGAATATTACCGTGTTCCAAAAATATGAAACTACTGGGAGATATATGGCAGTTGAATAGGAACATTATTTTGTCTAACCTTAATTTGATCTATAAAACAACTATAACACCTTTTATTTTTCCAGCAACCTAAATAAGTATAGCACAGTAGCTACAAACTGAGCATGCATGTATGGATGTGAGTATGTTTTAATTGTTTGACAAATCAAATAATATTTGAGTATGAAGCATTTTTTTGATCCGGTGAACCCTGAAACTTAACAATCACGATGGTTTGTTGTTTTATTATTGTCGAATTGATGTTCAAAACATTTGCACTTGATTCCGACTATTTTCAAATTCAGCTTAGGATATATGTATGTGAATGTTGTTGACCACTTACCAGTTTACCACGTTCCAATCAAAATCCATTCTTACAGTTTGAATTAGTATGCGTTTTGCTTGGACGGTCAACTTAATATTGGGCTTAGTGCTCTTAATTACATATGTAAATTCATCAAGTGGTCATAGTACTTCTGCTGCTCCATATGGGAATACGTTGTGTTTACGTGAATACATTGATTGGTATAGTTACGTTTGCAAGCTAATTTTATGTACAAGCTGAGGAAGGCACCAAACCCATTAGTCAAGGCTGTCTTATTCCGGATGAACTTGTTGTCTTGATCTTCCCAGTGGTGCTAGGCTTGTTTACATAAAGAATGAAAGAGTGCTGTAAATCATGCCATGAAGTTTATGTTTGCATTTCTTGTGACTATTATCAATTGAAACTTACATTGATCTCTTTATAGTTGTTCACAAACATTTCTTGTTCATTGTTATATTTTTAACACTTCTTTTTGTCAATTGGTAGCTTTACTGTGAGAAAGACAGCCTTACTGAGGAACAGTTTGAACAACTGAAGACAATTATTGATATTGGTGATATAATAGGTGCAAATGGTTCCATAAAGAAGACAGAAAAAGGTTTGGTAAAATAAATCCTTTTATTGGTGCATTACTACTGTCTATTCTGTCATGTGATGACACTTAGAAGTCTGCTTTTCAGCATATGACATAAGTTTGCAGCATTGCACAGTATTGTTAGAAGTAGACTTCTATGATTATGTGCCTTCATGATTTTAAACATCAAAATTGCGAGTCAGACTCTTGTATCACCATCACAGTGTTTGGCTCCCCATTTGAAAATCATTCTTTGTGTAAATTGAAGTGAGTTCCTAGCATTTTCCTAGCATACTCATCTGACTATTGTTCAACTAAGTTACCAGCACACTACTGTTTCGAAAAGGAAAATCAATGGTAAGGAGTGTCAATAAAGAACGGAAAATCAGAAAGATGATAGAATGCTACAAAATATGAAGGACCTTGGTCCTTGGGTGCTAGGGACATGGTCGATTATAGGATTAGAATTGTGAAGAATTATCCATGAATGGCTAAGATTTGTATTTTATACCCTGCAAGTATTACAAGCTGAGTTAGTCACTTTCAGGCTCAAGCTACTCAATGTAAGCCTTAATTTATTTCGATTCTATTATCAATATAATGGTTAATTAGTGATAAATCATTATATCTTAATGCTATTAATTCAGCATCTACTATTGTTCTTTTAGTGGCTTATGATTTTATTTTACTTGGTGCACTTTGCTGCAGGGGAACTATCTGTTTACGTGAAAAACTTTGAAATCCTTACAAAATCCTTACTCCCACTACCTGATAAGTACCATGGCTTAACTGATGTGGACAAGCGGTATCGCCAAAGGTTAGCTTTTATTTTGTGTTTATATATTTTTTTCTTCAAGTAAAGGAACAATCGGTGCATCTATAATGAGTTTGGACCTCAGAATGTTTTATTTGGCTGTTTCTTGTTCCATTAATCTGCTTTGGAAGTTCTATTGTTATTCTAATTATTTTATAGCTAAATATTCTGCTTTATGGACCTCTGGCATACCCCACGGAGTATAGGCGTGGCAAATCTTCTCTTAGAATATACCTGAAGTGTATCAGTCGTTTTTAGTATTTGCATATTTTCACTACCAATCACACCTTGTTACCACCTATTATGGCTTATAACCATCAATGGTTCTCTCTATATATTTATCTATTGCGTTCATTTGGTTATTCCCTGTGTTTCATGATCATGATGGATGCTGTCTAAATTGAGAATTACATACAAGCATTTTGTACTTGATTAAATCCGAATCACTTATTATGAGTATTAATACTATTGTTTTAGTATCAGCTAGAAACTCCTATTCCTTTGTTCCAACATTTAACATATACTATCTTTACTTGTACAATGATAGGTATGTTGACATGATTGCAAATCCTGAGGTTGCTGATGTATTCCGAACAAGAGCAAAGGTAGCGATTTTGACTGCATGAGGGAGCTGAATTACCTTTTAGTTTTGGTTGAGACAAATTTGTGAACTAGACTAGATAGTAATTAATTATGAAAAGTCGACTTGCCTATGATGTTTGGCTTTAAATGATTATTTTACTTGGGATTTAAATTTATGTAAAATCTTATGCAGTACAGAACAACATTTCTGTTCAGGAGGCAATAGGGAAATTGTGGGATGGGAAATTCTATGCCCTTATTTCAACAAAGCTCTCATTTTGATAAATAGTACTAGGGATGGCAATTTATTATTCGTTATTGAGATTGCATAATTTGTGATTCACCAACTCTACATTTCAGTTTGTCTTAACTGTTTTTTTTCCTAGGCTGTATCTGAAATCCGCAAGACAATGGAATCATTTGGCTTCATAGAAGTTGAAACGCCAGTTCTACAGGTGTGCTCTAGGCATATTCTTTAAATTGCTAATCGCTAGGCTTGGTAAGAGGATAATGCTGGGATTATCCACTTTTTCTCATGGAATCTGAAACAAGGCAGAGTTAACATAGAAATTGGGACCATATAGACAGAATAGATTAATGGTATGTAGCTCTGTGTTTGAAAATGTATGACGCAATGACATTTTTTTACTAAATCTTCCTTACTTTTAACTACCGATATATGAAATGGTATTTGGAATATCATGTGTAACTGAAACCATTAGATTTGCCATAAAAATATTCTGATATTATATAATACTGTAATAATGTACTTAATATTTTTTCAATAACATATTTATACAATACTAAAGGTCACGGGTTCATGCTGGAGAGTGTATCGATCCAAAACGTGATACATATGTAAACAGGGTGCAAAACTTTAGTTTTCCTCTTTCAACTTAAGGTTATGTCAACATATCAAAATATGCGGTAAAATATACATATACCCTCCAAACATAAAACGAGGCTTCTCCGCTGACCTGGTTTTGGCATGTTTGTTCTTTTTCTATCCTGTGTTCAGGAAAAAGCTAGCTGGGTAAAGTTTTAGGCCTATTACTTTTTATGGACAATTAGCTTTGATTTTAGTGCTATTGCTAAGTTTTCTTTGAAGACAACATTTTGTGTTTGAAGCTCTTATCCAACTGAGGTATCACAAACAACCATGTGGCTGAGATTACCGCAAGTTTGCTGCAGCGTTGAAGTCCTCTAAAGATAAATTAGTTTACTTGGTGGTATTCTCTAAAATTTTTCTTCTGCTTCGTAGCTAGGAGCTGGGGTGTAAACGGACATACAACCATGTCCAATTCTTACAATGTTTCGTACTTTGAACTTTCAAGTCTTCTGTACAGTACATATCTCCAATCTGTTATACTCAATCTGAGCTTCGCAAAACCTACATATAAGAGCAAATACATCTAAAGATTCTCTAAATTCAGTTCAGACTTACATAGTCTAATTCATAGACATTCCAAGGACATGTACGCACAATGTAGCAGGGATCATTGTGAAATTGTTTTTGTTGGATGCTTTTTAATCTTGGCAGGTGGTAACACTAATCACAGTGTAACACAAGGGAAGAGTGCCGTCCTTTAAGCTTGCTCAGGCAAGCGAAAATGTGTCACTGCACGCAAAATGTTTTTTGCTGCCATTTTTATTTTGTAAACAGTGCTCTTGCTTGGCTTAGCATGGTTGGCACAAGGGAATTAGGTAGAAAATACAAAATGTTTTTACTCATTGACTCATTAGTGACCAAGTTAGCACTCAGCACATAGACCACCTCAGATGCTAGGTCACTAGAATTGGAAACCAGGGTGGCATCAAGCCATGGTGTCATCTGATCTGGTTTTGAACTTTTGATAGATTACCATGGTTTTGTGGTTAAAGCTTACATGGACTTAGCAATCATTTTTTTTAATCAGCATGGGTGGGGGGGGGGGGGTGGTAAAATGGACTTGCCCAGTGCCCCAGTGTTTGTTTTGTATTATTTGACTGTTATTGGTCATCATTAATATCGTCTGGTCATTTTTCTTTTTTTTTCCAACCGGGCTAAACAGGGAGCAGCAGGTGGTGCTGAAGCAAGACCATTTATAACCCACCATAACTCACTGCAAAGAGATCTTTACTTGAGGATTGCAACAGAGCTGCATTTGAAAAGGATGCTGGTGAGGTTACTATTCAGTTTTTATTCTTCAGTTTGGCAGCTATCTCTTTTTTCTTAACCTGCTCTGTATCTGTATTCATTTCTGTGATACTTCCATTTCAATTAGTCAACATAGTAGTGAATATGATTCCAATTAGTCAACATAGTAGTGAATATGATTCCTGTGAGTACAGAAGGATCAGATTTGACTACTATGTTGACTAATCGAAATGGAAGTATCACATATGCTTGTTATGCCATGTTAATCTTACCATAACATAATTTTTTGCGAACTGTATACTGTTTAGCTATTTTATATTTATTTACAAATTTAGTACTACTGAAAAAAAATGCAGGTTGGAGGGCTTGAGAAAGTTTATGAGATTGGGAGAATATTTCGGAATGAAGGCATTTCCACTCGCCATAATCCTGAATTTACCACAATTGAGGTAAAGAATTGAGGTCTTTTTCACCAATACGTGCATATCATATGTTTGCTTTGTTCTTACCCGCATATCATATGTTTGCTTTGTTCTTACCATGTAGGTTGAGCCTAGTGGTTTTATCTTCCATGTTCCTGTTTATTCCATTTTCTTGCATAATGTGCTCTACTCTAAGTGAGGTCTGACTCACTGCCTTGTATTTGGAAGCTAGATGTATGAAGCCTATTCAGACTATGAAAGCATGATGAATTTGGCTGAAGAAATTGTTACTAGATGTGCAATGGCTACTCATGGCAAACTTAGGGTTGATTATCAGGTATGAGTCTTTAAGTCTACCATAGTAAGTTAGTAACTATAGTATATAGTATATATATATTGCAATGCATTTTTGCCTTATTAATTTGGATCATCTGGACACATATCAGAGCAGAATCATGCCATCTTTGTTGCTTCTATTATTTTTCTTTTGTACTGAATCTGTTCCAAGCTCAATAACAATTATCCACACCTTGCTTCCGTACTGGTGTTTCCTGGTCTGGAAGCCATATGCAGATAGGCACTTGGGCATGCCAGAAAAAAAAAACATTTCTGGTCCTAAAACAATCTGCATTGCAGATTTCTCTAGAAATTTGTACCAAAATAAAACCATTGACATTAGAAATCATAGGTCTGATCAAAGAAATTAAAGTGCCCCATCAAAAACATTTTCTCCTTTTAGATTAATTGAATTTTGATTGAGCTACTATTCAAGTATTCATTGTTTTCAACTCTAGAGGTGAGTTGTACAAGCAACAACAAATGTATTACTTCTCATTTACTACACAATATACAGTATAATACAAAATATAGTACAATGTTTAGCCCCTGCAAGCCCAAGTATGTTGCAAAGTACATGTACTGTTCGCAAACAACTTATGGTGCTTTGTATACTACAACTGACAAGTGAGAGGTGGCATGCTCGAGGAGGTATCTATTCATATTAAATGAAATTGCTCTGACAAGGAGTACACGGTAAGGTCAACCCAGTGTGAGGCCTCCAGACCTGGAGTGGAAATGGAGAGCGCTACAGCAAAGGCGATTGGAAGGAAGAAGGGGGTGAAGACACCTCCTGTGCCCTGGCTTGTACTTACAGATGCCATTTCTTATGGCCACTGCCAGTGCCAATGGCTGGCAATGGTGCCTCCTCACTAATCCATGACAACGCTGTCTTCATGCTGGCAGTTGTCTTGGTGTGCTTGTTGCTGTTTGTTTCCTGTTATCACCACGCGTGTTGGTGTGAGGCCAGGAATGGCTGAATTTGGTGGCATCAAGGTTGCCAGGTTGGCATGGTCTGATCTAGTAGCAGCAGCAAAAAATGGTAGAGGCTATGATAGCAGTACGCAGTAGGGGGAGAGAGAAACAGGTGGTAGTGTTGCTCTCAGGAGATAGAAGGGGATAAAATGAGAAGTAGATGTTAGAGAGTGGTTTGGGAGGATGAAGGTTATGTCAGGTCCATGGAACCGTTCAATTGTATTTTTCATTGAAAAACCTGACCCAAGGGGAGAGACATCCCAAAGGCATTGCATTTAAGGTCAAGAAATGGCCCCGAAAGCCGGCTCTTGCCCGTACAGGTAATCCATTGCCAGTTGCCACAAGCCATGTCTTAACCTGTACTTGGGAACACACAGCAAGGGGCCTTTTTTTTTTTTGGGTGAGAACCAGGGTTTGAACCCTGGTTGGTAGGCTCACAACTGGAGGACTTACCACTTGCTACAAGCATGTTCTCAATTTTTCATTGAATTATGTGCCATCAACGAATTTTCAGAAATTACCAAAATGGTGCATAAGCAAATCCTGGAGCAAAATGAAGAATGAGGATCGTGTGTGCATATGATTTTTGATCTATAGTTTACCTTTTCCCTACCTAATTTCCTGGAACACACTCACGTATTACTCTTGTGTCTTTTCACATTGATAAACAATTGTTGTTTAATACCAAACAGGGAACTGAAATCTCCCTTGAAAGACCATGGAGGAGGGAAACCATGCATTCTCTTGTCAAAGAAGCAACTGGAATTGACTTTAATAGCTTTGGAGAAGATCTTGAATCCGCCAAAAATGCTGCAAGAGGGATCAAAACAGAGAGCAATGAGAATATCTCATTGCAAGCTTGTTCATCTGTTGGACATGTTCTCAATGAGGTATCTCAGCTGTTATTTTCCATGACATTATTTATTTCTCGGGTGCTGCCTCAAAATTTCCGTAAGGGAGAAGTCTTCCTTAAGTTTTGGACTTGAGAGTTCATTTTAGACATTCAGCATTTCAAGGGCACCTTTTATCATCACCAAACCCCAGACGTAGGTTTGAAACAAACGCTCGAAAACAGTATCAGGTGGGATCAAATGTTGGCTCAAAAGAATAAGTTTTTCAAGAACCCAAACTCTGATAAAGTGTGCAGTATCCTAAGTGTGATGCTTTTGCTGAGAATTTTGGCATTGCATAAATGCCCGATGCTCTGGCTGGAATCATGCAAACTGAAGCTATATGGCACATTTTAACAAGCAAAATGTTGGCATGATTACTTACAGTAAGCCAGCAGACCTTGTAACCATCATTTTCAAAATCTGATGTTGTAAACAGAAATTGCAAGGTTTCAAATAATTGTGATAACTATACACCTTGGAAGTTAAACTAATATACTACTGTTGGTTTATGGATTCATATAGATAAAGGAGTTTACTAACAAAGTTTAAGGGCTTTGAAATTTAGTGAACTTCCACATTTCAAACACAACGTCATTTTCAAGTAGGATACTAGGCTGGTAATGGTAGGTAAATAAGTGAAATCAGATTTATATTGGGCCTGCTGAAGCTGCAAACTTTCCAATTCACGTTAACAACACTCTATATCATGCATATTATAGTGATTTTACCAGTCTGGTTGAGCTAATTGTTTGCCATGAAGAATAACAATTTTATAATTTTCCATCGTATGCCAGGTCTTTGAGACTGTTGTTGAATCAAGTCTGGTACAGCCAACATTTGTTCTTGACTACCCAGTTGAGATATCACCATTGGCCAAACCACATAGGAGGTAATTGCAAGATAATTATTAATTTGGTAACAGACACTGTTTTGAATTACTGCTATTGTGTAAATGTTCATTTGCTTTGATATTTCACTTTGGGCCACATTTTATTACCGACATTTCACTTTGGACCACCCTTTAGCCAATGTTTTCACTTTGGACCGGGTAATCTTGCCTTTGTTTCACTTTGGACCACCCTAACTCTCTTTTCAAGCATATGAAAAATCTCGAGTACGTCGGTTCCTACTCATCAATGAACTCTCACAACTATATGTAAGATCATTTCTTTGGCATACGACAAGTTGGATGTATAAGGATAAAAGAGTTGAGGGTGGTCCGAAGCGCTACAACGGTAAAAATACCCGGTCCAAAGTGAAAACATTGGTTAAAGGGTGGACCAAAACGAAACAACGGTAATAAAAGGTGGCCCAAAGTGAAATTTTCCTTGGGAAAAAAATTCTTATGTTTTTGTTACTTCAGACATATTTATGAATAGAAACTACAGTATGAGATAAGTAGATTACATGTTAGTGTGCTTGTAAAAATATTTTTCCAGTCTCGAGAAATAAGACTGACACATATCAAGTCTCTGAACTACATTTGTATCAGTCGGCGGTGCTCACCTGGGCTTTGAATATGAAGTGAACCAATCTCAAGTAAAACCGTTAAATTGAATGTACAGTTTGCAGAATTAGCTTCTGGGTAGACTAGTAATTATTCAATTAACGGTAGTTAAACTTTGATTCTTTTCTAAAGGTCTCACCATCACAGTCAGCAAGGCCCATTTGGAATGCAGGAATCGAGCTGCTTCGTCTGAATTTTCTGCAAAAAGTACCGTGATTACTGTGATTATTTGTTACACAGGAGACACAAATATAATTTGATAGAACAGATACAACTAAGACTTCTTTTAAGTTATCATCACTTTTCCCCGTTCCCATGAATGTAACAAATCTCTCTGACCTTCCATTGTCACTACCTACTGTTTTTTTACTGATTCAACCTGATACCAGTGTGAGTTTGTGCCTTTCAGAAACTGAAGCCAGTAGGCTGTATGTAGACAACCATCAAACCAAGCACATCCCTTAACTAGATGTGGTCCATCTGTTCTCAAACATATCCCTTAAAATTGTCCATATATCAACTGCGTACTTACCTTTTGAGATCATATTTAAAAGGATTATTTGGTGATGCCGCTGTTCTGATCAAAGTTCCATATATTTTCTCTGGGTGGATGCATTGTTACATATTGCTGTCAAAATACTGTTACTCAAAACAGATTACCTCAAGATTATGAATTATTTGTATATCTTATTTGGTATTCAGAGCATACTTCAGTTTCAATCACTGTGCACTTATCATAATAATTATGTTCTCTTGCTGTAGGTATGCTGGTCTTACCGAGCGATTTGAACTTTTCATATGTGGTCGTGAGATTGGTAATGCATTTTCTGAGCTCACAGACCCAATTGATCAGGTATATTTGCCTAGTTTTCTTAATGCATGTAAACCATCTCTGGTAGTACAATTTTCCTGTGCATTGCCTGGCAAAAGCTTACAAATTTGGTATTAGTAGGTGCAAGTACTTGAATACGTCAACACCAACTAACCAGTCAGCTTTGAAAATATTGTGTGCTATACAATGTTTGAGCTATGCTCAAACCGCGAAGCACCTTGGTATTTCCAAAATTTCAGTTGCACTTACCACTGCCACTTTGTTTTTAGTAGTTTGGAAACCTTGGATTAAAAAAGTAGCCGGCTGGTTAAAAAATGCTTGATTTGCAGTCAAGAATTAATGTGGCATGTATTATCTGGTGGTATTATTACATCGTTGCTTTTGTCTTTTGAGCTTGTATTTGGAGGGTTTGATAAACTTGAAATGCAGAGGCCAGACCTGGTTAACATGCAGAAGGTTGGCTGATAATGCAGCACCATGGTACACTTAAAAAGGGCTTTCAAACATGCCCCCTAAGAGCTCACCTTACCAGAAAATTGGGGAAGGAAAAGGGTTATTATATCCTTAGTTGGCACGACATGTTTATCCATATCATTTGTACAACTAAAAATCATTATGCATGAGTATTATCATGTCTTGAATCATCTGGCCTTTACAGAGTTTAAAATGACCACTTTACTTTTGGTGGCAGAGGGGTCGTTTTGAAAATCAAATTAAGCAGCACAATGCTAAGCGTGCTGCAATGACCAAGGAGGTCAAATCTACTGAGGGTAAACACGAGGAAGATGATTTTTCGTATGAAGTTACCTTAGATGAAGACTTCCTGACTTCCCTAGAGTACGGAATGCCACCTGCTTCCGGAATGGTACGTTCTACAGTAAGGCTTGAAAGACCAGTATTTTCAACTTGCTATCAGTCTTGAAAGTAAAAATGTCAGTATGTGGTTTGTGTGGACTAATTTATCTGGAATTATCAATTTTTAGGGCCTTGGAATCGACCGACTAGTAATGCTTTTGACCAACTCGGCGAGTATAAGGGATGTTATTGCCTTTCCAGTCCTAAAGATTCAACAATAGCACTTCTGCTCGGGTAAGAGATACAGAGTAGGCAACACATGGGGTGTGGAAGAAGTGCTCTGCACCCTTGCTTGTATTGTTAATTTCAAGCAGATTTTACATGCGATCATTTTTGTTAGATTGTTTTACAGATAGCTCTACCATTACTCTCTTTCTAAAATTTGAGTGGATACAGGCGAGGGTCAATAGTCCAGCCAGATAGTCAAAATAGGTATCAATTATGAATTTCATTTTGGGTTTCCATTTTCCAACAGCCATTTTTCATTCAGGAATACTATATAAATCTGTACTTTCCACCCACTTTCAGGCTAATGAACTCTTGCTACATTTCAGAGATATAAAGTATTTGCACATTGCACGGATTTATTAAAGGCTGTCCTGCCTGCTGTAATATACGCCTATTTTTGAGACGAAAACTGCAGCTGTGCTTCCCTCGGAACGACGAGCGGGCTCTACCAAGGTAATAAGACGGCAGCACATGCTTTTGTACGCGGACTCTCGTCTCACTCTTATCCTGCATCAGTCCTGATCATATGCAATAATACAAACCTGTTGCTCATATACGCCGAAGGCACCACCAGCCACAGTACTGCGCCACAGTACTGTACTAGTGCTGTAGCGCACGCAACAACGATGTCCATCCATGGAGCCGGAGCCTGTTCCTTTTTGCGTTCTTCGATTGTGGCTGCACTGATCCCTATCCACTGCCCTCCCTTATCCTGTCAAATCCGTATAAAGGTCTTGTACCCCATCATCCGGTGGAGTCTGCCGCCACAAGACCGCGGCGATCTGGTCCTCTCCTCGCCTGACGCGGCTGCGCGCCCCGCACCCCGCCTCTGGCTGCTTTGCCCCCCCCCCCCCCCCCCGGCGTGCGGCGCGACGCGATCGATCAATCATTCATGTGCGTCGAACCGGCGCGGCACCGCACCGTGGATACCAGCGCCGTCGCTGCAAACAGCCGCACGCGGTCACCTCGACTGCAACCGCGGCGCGGCACGGCGAAAGGGATCCGCACTTGCTAGGGGACGGATCGGTGGTGGGGGTCCCGGGTCCGGGGGATGCTGCCGCGTCGGCCTGATGGCTACTCGTGCTCGTGCACCGCTATCCCTGGGCTTAGTGGCTAGCGTTTAGCGCACAGTAATACTTGTGATTGCTTTTCGAAAGGACTTGGCTTATCTAAGCAAAAACTAGAGCCGTAAAAGATAAACCTTACTGAAAATCAGTGGAGCCAGGTACAGTACGCGTTCACTTTGAGTGATTAGAGAACATCACAGCTGACAAACTGGCCCGTGTCCAAGGGCCAAGGTACGGTGTGGCGATCGATCGAGCTCCATCAGTCTCGGATAAGTCTGTCGTTGGGGCATTGGGGGCATTGTTTGGTGCCGGGGCCCTGAGTGACCATGGACTCTAGCTAAGCTTTGCCGTCACTGTTGATCGACGCAAGCGGAATCCCTGGTGATTGATCGTGAGATGCGTGTGTCTTTGTGGGGTTTCTGGATTCGCGGAGCTACCCCCGTACTGGTCCACCCTGTCACTCATGTTTGGTTCCTTTTTTTTTTCCGGACGATCAATGCGTCTTTGATTTCAAGAACGTCGTCGGTTTCTTATTGATACGGGAGCAGCTAGCTCTCGTGCAAACTGGGGATCACCGTACGTACTACGTTAGTTTCTTATTGTACTCAAAAGAAATCCCTTTATGCTCCTCTACGGATTGCTAATTAGGAACCGAGACTGAAACTGGGAACTGAAACCGGGAACTGAAACCCATCTCTGCAGCGTCTCTGCTCTCACAAGCATGCTCCTATAGGTCAGGTCCATACCAAAAGGCAACAAATGTGTCGGCAGGGAGTGAGTGAGCCTGAAGGGAAGAGAGGGATTAATGCTCATGTACGTTAATGATCGTCGGTCAGGAAACACTACAGCTCAAGATGACCATGAGAAACTGTTGCAAAGCTGCTGCTGCAGAGATCCTTTTACTTCTTCTCGCCGGAATAAAACAGCTTTGTGATTAATGCATATGGTTACATTACACATCTCCGGTTGTCGCTTTTGCCTGCGCTCAGGGACCTCAGCAATCAGCAATCAGCTAGCAACTCAGCATTTCATTTTATTGTGCACAAAATCCATACCGACCACGAGACAATCCCTAAAGCATAACTTTATTTTTTTTATATGTTGATCACATTTATCCGATAAAAAAGTTTGGTATGAGAGATGGATTAGTTCTATTTTTAAAGGATGGATCATATGTCAATAGAGAGAAAAGTAGGTTGAATTGGTCCGCTAGTTTTTGAGGGATAACGCCAACTTAGATCTTAGAGAAATATTCTTTGCCAGAGACAATCCCATCCCACCACCTATCTGTAAACCAAAACCTTGAAAAATAGGTTCGACCTAACCCAACTCATCCCATCTTATTCCTCAAACCAAACGCAATCTGATTTCTTGCATGTCCTCGTGGGTGGACGGGAAGATTTGTCCCCCTAGGCACATCCTTTGTTACATCATTATATCATATAGCCTAGGCAAACAACTTAGGTATAGATAATTATATAAAAAAATTTAAAAGGTAAACAACATAAATGATTGTGTCAAATATCCCTCTGCAAACATGGTCAAATTTGTTCTACACGGAGAAACAAAGACAACAAATCACCATGAAAAGTACAATCAGAGTTGCAAAATAGATGTGTAGATCAAATTTGATCTTTGCCTTTTCTTTTGAAAACATATGTAACACAATAATCTTATTTCCTATTTTCTTCAGTTGTTTTTAATTATTTAGACTGCTTGCAAGAAAAGATGGCAGATGACCTTGAATGCTTTAAATCCATCTTGGACCTTTGAATGAGCTATATATACTCACTGTTTATAATGGAAATACTTGGATCTAAGGAGACCCTAACAATTTTAGATAACAATCCCTCTGTCTAAAAGACAAGTCTTTCTGACATTTAAATTTTAATCTATCCCAAAATATAAAACTCACGGAGTTCAACAAACCCAACCTCACAAATAATAATTTTATCCTGTGGTCCCCACAATCTGGCCAATCATGAGTTATCCTGCCTATTTAATGAGTTTTTTTACTTTTGTTGTTATTTAATTGTTTTTAAAATTGTCGGAAGTATTTATATCTTGGGACGGGAGAGTAACCACTTTATGATCGAGTTGGAATAACCCCAGTATGTCAACTGTCATTTATTTGTTAATTTCTTTAGTGGGAAGACTATGATAGATAATTAAAGGAGCTTGATTGAACCAAATTAAGTAGTAGAAAGGCTTGATTGCAAAAACTGCATAGTTTCACCAGTCCTAGTAATCGAGATAAAAGTTACATATATTTGACTTCATGTATGGAGCGCACAAAATAAAGATGCGATGTTGACAGATAACAACAACAACGTGTAGCAAAATTATTAAGAAAATGATCATGGTATGTGTAGGAAAAAAATGTTGGGAATAATAAAGTGTGGTTAATGCATGCATGCACAAAATGGTATATTTTAGAATATCTTCGTTACCGCGCGTACTATGCATCTTACTATGGAAAGTGTCGATAAAATAATCATTTAAACCTTCAAAATGAAACATAAAATACATCTGCAACATGGCGGCACCGATAGCTACAACGTCGTGGTCAAACTTTTTTTAAAAAAAATAAAACGGTTGCTACACATATATATTTATTTCCGTTCCAAAATATATCAACCTAATACTACTAGTATTATGTGATCTTAAAATAAAGACCGAATTTTATTCCATTATCTACTCAAGTATTATGTAGTGTCTAATCGAATACTAGATGATTAGTAGTAGGTGATATCTAATGGTTAGTTCCTTCATCCTAAAATATAACAATCTAGAATTGGATAATTCATAGCACTAGTTAGGATGTATCTAAATTAATTCTAGGTTATTATATTTTGAAATAGTGAGTATATATAGTTTTTGTTGGTAGAGTCCTAAATGCACACGTACGCGCAAGATCGAGATGGTGCCCATCTAAAAAAAGATCGACAATGCAAGGGTCGTTCGCCGTCTCGATCGCCAAGCTCGCTAGCAACAAGCCCCACTTTCTGCTCGTAACTCTGTGCACGACTGCACGGACTATACATACATCATCCTCGCAGCAGTAGCAGGCAGCTGCAGCGAGAGGCAGTAGAGCAGAGAGAGAGCAGCAGGCCGTGAGCCCGTAGCTTAATTACCGCATGTCGACTGTACCATGGAGATCGAGCTGGTAGCCTATAGCCAGCCAAAAGCTCGTGATATGAAACTCCAGTCGAAGTGGCAGCGGCTGGCCACTGCTCCAGCCTTTTTCCCGACCTCGTAATCTTTAGCCGGTCAGGCCGAGATCGCGAGCTCAAGACTGCTGTTGGACCTAGTAGTAGCTTTGCTCCCTGGAAATGCTGCCACGGCCAGAGTCAATGCCCGTACACCGCCATATGTTAAAACTTAAACAACCTGTTTCCTTTGTACTTCATCCGTCCTATAAAGAACCAATCTAATACTGGTTGTATCCTAATACAACAAATTTGAACATGTTTCTATCCAGATTTATTGTACTAAGATGTGTCATATCCAATAAGACGGAGGGAGTACTTGACTGTTTTGTAATATATATAAATATTAATTTTTAGATTATTTAACAAAAAAGAAGAAAAAAAGTTCTTTTCTGTCACTTAATTATTGGTTGAACTTTTAATAAGTAGATTTTCTTTCCTATTGGTTGAAAATGTTTAGATTTCGTGCAGGAATCAATGTCCTATGAATACTTATACTGTGGTATAAATTTTGAATCCTAAAAATACTTGTACTCTGAAGTGCTCGCATAGAAGATAAGATGGCATGTAAACTTTTTATTTATTCGTATTTTTAGTTTAGTACCTATTTTTCTCTTTTAAATAATGAAAATGTTTACGTATCTGGCCATTATTGTAAGACTCACAAACAATGTGTTTTTATTCTTACAAAAAAGAGAAGGTGGTGGGAAAAATTACAAGAAAAGGCTAACATACTAAAGGGCTGAAAGAATCACAAAAGATTCTATTTCCTCCATATAAAAGTAAGTTAACTTTTCTATATGAATCTGGACATACAAAAGTAAGCATATACACAGCTGTGGAATAGGAGTCTCTTGGCTGTTAATGCCATGAGCGCAGTACCACTACATATGGCATCTATATATGCCATCGTATAAAACAATAGAGAGCCAGCTAAAAGACAGGGAAATAAAAGTATATGAGATTAGACAAATTTTCATATACAAATGGCTTTATTATTAATTGGTAACGCCATATTTACCAATATTGTACACTAATTGGTAACCCGAAATAAACCTATTTTTTCAATGTGCCCAGGCAAAATGAGCAATATTTTTCATGTTTCAAGGAGGGGGATGCTTTGTTCTTTTGTTTTTTTTATGGAAGGAGGGGGATCCTGAAAGCAAAGAAAGCATGCGATGCAAGATGAGCAATATGGCAATAAGAAAA